AAAAAAAGAAAAATAAAATCAGGTGTACAAAAAACTAAAGATATCCCTTTGAAAGACAAGATATAGAAAAACAGCCTCACAGTCCAACATTTCCCAGAGAGTTTATTTATAGAATTATTTCAATTTGGCACACAACTGGAAAATGCTAATACAATTTGCTGGGATAACAGGAAAAAGGCCAGAGTGTTGCTGGCCCTTTGTGGGGAAAAGAAACAAGAATTACAAAAAAGGAACAGTCAGGGCTGAAAACAAGTTTATTTGCAAGGACTGGCAGGGGTAGGGAGTGAAGATTTAGAGTGCTGAGATGGTCAGATGATAATGTTTCCAGGTCCTCTAGTAATGCAGACTGAAATAAGCCACAAGAGTTAAGTGTGACATAGCACAGGTTGTTTGCACTGTTGGCAGAAGTTGAGCTCTTTAGAACTTAACTTACTGTTTGTTCTTTACTGTGCTTACTTCTGCTCACACTGAAAGAGGTGGGAATTCTGCTACTGCCTTCAATAAAATCAGGCATTTTACATTGAGCCAGTGGAGCCTCTTTCACGAGCAAAGCTCTGTACTTGGAAGGACAGAAGTGACAAATGCTTGTAACAGAACACTGAAAAGCTGTTCTCTTCTCCTCCCTTTTAAGATAATTCAACTTGTACCCCCTAAGTCTACCTGCATCTTTTCTGGATGTTCAGCATTATTACACCAACAATCACATAAAACTTTAAGCGGCATTTATTTTATTGTAATCTATCACATTTTTGGTAGGATCAACACCTTAGACCTTGGTTTAAAACATTAACTGTTTTAGGATAAAGTGGACTGGGTAGTTTGCTGCCTTGATCCTTTATTTCTTGGACTGTTTCCACCTCTGAGCTCTCCTTTTTCTTGCTCACATGGAATAAAAAAGGAGCAAGGATCAGGAAGCAATAGGAGAATGAGGAACAGCAAAGAAAAAAGTGGCTACCAATTGCTGGCTCCAGAGATAAGAACCCCAGAGGGAAACTCAGAGAAGCTGAAAAAGCTAGCATGACACCTGAAAACCATGAAGTTTAGGGCTTCAACAGTCTCTCGATATGAACTGTGAATGACATTAGCTACCTGCAAGGGGGGAAACACACTTCCAGCAGGTGCTACCACTTCATTATAACAGCTGCCATATAGAAGATGTAGTTCAAAAGTCAAGCAATCTTTATGAGTCCTCAGAGTTAATGCAATCTTGTCTCAGCAAGTTAAATCAAAATGAACTGGATATAGAGTAGTTTTATCACTCAGGATGGTAGGTCAGAAGATAAGTTATGAATGGGACTTTGGCAATGTCAAATTTACAATTATGAAAAGTCCTAAATCTCTATAACAATAAAGCACTGAGGAAGACTCAGCCTGAAAGGAAGCCATTCAGGCTTTCCTTGGCTGGAGGCATTCTTCCCTCCCATCCTGCTAGAGTTTAAAAAGCATGGAGGTATTTATCTATGGTTAGTTAAATCTTAACTGTATGGTTATTTAAACTCTGAAGCAAAAGAGAAATACTAACAATGAAATTTACAGCAAGAAATGGAAATGCTCTCTCCTACAAGTTCTCTAGCACAGCTGCCTGCTTCTTCCCTCTCCAATTTTCTGGTTTACTTAGAAAATAGACTCACGAAGAGGTAGGGCATAACTAGGGGGACAGTACCCTATAAAAACAGTTTTGCCATCACAGAAATTGCAACTGGAACTACACCCCTGTGACAAAGCCTCGGCTGGTGTAACGCACAACAGGCTCAGCTTAATACTTAGCCACTTCTCATTGCATTACTCCAGGGGGTGCAGACTGTTTAATACTCCTGTTAAACCAGGAGTATTATAGTGCTGTTGTTTAACTCCAACAGATATAATAGGATTGCAAAGATGTTGGGAGATCGGATGTTCTCAATTAATGAGAACAATCTATAAATAAGCAGATATGAACTCCAGTGAAGACTCCCCTTCATATTTCTGATCTTCAACCACTGACCATTAAAAGGAGAACAAATCAACCAAAAAAAAGCCTTCTCAAATCTGAAGCAAATCAGAAAAATATGTCTTCAGGGGAGCTACTCTAGCGACTGTAACGATGATAAAATAAAAGTAAATATATGAAACAATATCACTGGATGACTTCTCTGCTTCACTTACATGGTTAAATTCATTATTCAAGCTCTCTCTGCTAACTATTTTCACTATTTTTGTGTGCTCTGTAGATCAGACCAAACCGTGCTTATTTAATTCATCTGTAAGAGTTTGGCAAATATGTGGAACTAGAAATCATTTAAGTACAATTTTCAATCCTTTTATTTCCGTGTCAATGTATTTAGAAAAACATTCATTTAAGGAATGTAAGTTAGGATTCTTGGTACAGTACTAGGTATCATCTATGCTACCATCCACTCTTTTTAGCCGATTGTTAAAAAATGGCTTTAGAATAATTTCACTTGCAATCACCTTCATCATAATACACAAACAAAAACCAAAGCTAAAACAATACATTCTCTTACTTTCCTTGTTTGGAGCTAGAATGATACAGTGAAAGTTTTTTGTTTGTTTTTTTGTTTTTTCTTTTTTTAAGAAAAAACATACTTTTGTAGGACCCACTTATGCTGTGCTATTGTTTTAAGTACCATCCCTAAAAGTGGTTTGATGGTTTTATGTGGAAGAGGCTAGAACACAAAGAACAATGTTCTAGCCCTGCAGTGAGATGTTATGATATGATTTCCTAGCATTCTGGGCACAAATTTAAGTCACATCCATACAGGAGAAAAAAAACCATATAGTCAAGCCAGAACAGCAAAGTGTTTTAAAACATTGTAAACATGATCAAAGGAATAGCATATACTGGGTATTAATATTATACCTACAAATATCCAAGAGTGAGGAAACACATGCACTAAGCAAACACTTTTAAATACTTCCTGGCCTGTGCAAAAGTTGCATTTATTGTAAAATGACAATACCAGAAGATGATATTCACCAGCAGCCTGACTATACTCATATCAAAGAAGCTGCTCTTCAGGCTAGACTGGGAGATTCCAAGCATCACCTTAGATCTCGGCTGTGGAAAAGCTGTACGTGCTCAGACTGTGCCAGCAGCACTTATCTAGGCACCTCAGTTTCATCTCCTCCTTTCCTTTTAGCAGAAGTGAGCATGGTCCACAGAGTCCAAAACTGAAAGGTAGTAAGTGCTATGATTCAGTGCAATAAAGCACTTTAGGATATAATCAGGTCTCAACAAGCTTAAGTCCTCCTGGTGAAAGATGAGATATTTTAGCCAGCAAATGGGAGGATGGAAAGGGGGGCTAAAGTGTATCTTTATACCTTCTTTATCTTCCTAGGGAAAAATTAATTAGGCAAATACTGCTGTTAACTGCTGTGTACCTTCAACTAAGATGCAAGTAAGCTCAAGATATGCAATCTTAACCTAGTCTTCATTTCTCATGTGGAAACCAAGTCTGACCACAGCTTATGCAAGGAAGTGACAGTCATACGCAAAATAAAAGCAGTCACACTTCCATGAGGAAAGATTACACACACTTTCAACCTGAATGCAAAACAATCATCTCCTACGAGCTTTGTCTTATTGTCTCTTTGAATGCTGTGCATTCACCCTTAGTGACACACTCAGGTTTTTATAATAGGCTACTATGACTATTTCTCATATCTAAATTTTAACCCATATTGTTTAACTAATAAACAGAAGGGCTGCCCTTTTATCAGGCTTTAAGTCACTCACAGCAGCCAGAAAGGGGGGGGGGGGAGCGCAGTTTTCTTGTAAAATGTTACTAAAGCCTTGACAAATATCTAGATTTTTGTTCTTCATTAAGATTTGGAAGCTCAACAAGTTTCAAAATAAATTAGCCCCTTTTTAATAAGGGTATATTCACTTATTTGTTGTGGCATTCAGCAGTTTATTTAACTTAAAAACTGGAAGCTGAGTTGCTTTGTTTGTATATTATCTACACATGTAAAAGCTATTCTTGAATAGCAGCAATAGTGAAAAATTTGGGCAAAAAGTAGTATCACAAAAAAACTACCCGTACCAAAAGGCTAGCAGGACTAAGTTTCAGTCTACTTTGCCTGTAAGTTTACAAAATAAAACTAACTGAAAGTTTGTATCTGTAGCTGGGTAACATCTGAGGAGGTCCTTCGGAACAGTAAGCACTAGCTAGAAGTTAACAGTATTAAAAGTGGTATGACATGCACCACTACTGAAGTAGAGGGAGAATCCCTGTTTTTAATCAGAACAGCAATAGATGAAAAATTTAAGACATTTACCACAGAACATTTACCAGGGGAACATGAATTTGCTTTAAACAGACTATGCTTATACTGAATAACCTTCAAATGGAAAATGTTTGTATTAAATAAGAATTTTAGCTTTCTTGAAGAGATATGGGAAGCTTATCCTTTGATATGCAGACAACCCGTACATTTTAACTTCCTGAAGTCCTTTTAGAGGGGTTGAAAGGACAATGTTAGAGATAGTTACATTTTCAGCAGATAGAAGTCCACACATTTTAGAGATGCAACAATTTGTCATTTGATATCAAAGGGGCTATGTTCCGTTCTGTGTATACTGGACTCAATTTCAAAAACCTTTATTGAATAATGCTGTCACCCTCCTGTACTTCAAATGCTACATACTCTACAAACTTACTTAAACTAAATTTAGAGTTATAGGAAAATGGTCTTATGCATTGTGCTAATTTCCACAAATCAAGTAACCACAGACTCTTCAGAACGACTCAAGAGCTTTATACAGACACAAATGCCCCTTAAGCTAGGGGACAAAGGTCATTCTGGGGTTCTAAAAAAATTGCTGGTTTATATCTTATTTTGTAAATGAAAACAATCAACCAACTCACTATTCCCATCAAACTCATTCCATATGACCTCGCCCAGTGAAAAAAAATACATATCGAAGGAAAAGGCTGCTTCTGTAGGTATAAACACCAAATGATGAACAAGTCCTACGTTAGAGAAAAATCTAGCATGCACCTTCAACACTGTACACAGAAATCAAAGACAAGAATTGTTAAAAATTATACAAGGAAACATTGCCTTCTTTTAAAAAGGAATATGGAAATAATTACACTGATTAATAAAACACTAATATTCACAACTCATCTGAACTAAACTGGTTTACATCTTCAGGAAAATGTCAAAATAATACAGAACATTTTTTTTTCCCTCTTAAAAAGCAGAAAGAGTGCCACTCTATCAAAGATAAATTGTTGCTGTATATAAATTTGTGTCAGCCTTCTTGTGCTTTCTGTTCAGGGGATATAAAACACAGGGTTATATTTCCTGCTAAGTTTTTTACAGTTATCAAATGGTTATATAAATCAATCTTTTTTCCTACCTAATTCATTATGGAGCTGCTAAAACTACAGTAACACGATGTAAAAGGTACCAAGAAATTCCTGTGAGAACTACTTAAGTTATTTTATGAACCAATTTGGACTTTCCTTTTAGTTCACCTATATTCCCAAATACATGCTGTATATGCACCTTGAGTAAAAGAACTGCATGAAAACAGTCCAAAAAATAAGATACGGAAACTGAGGTGTGAGGCAGTCACCTTTCTACTTCCATTTTTTTCCCCCCCCAAATAACACCACTCAAGCAACCCAATGCACTCTATAGTCCTCAAACCCACACCAAATTGCTTTGCTGTGCATCTTTCCCTGCAGGTTTTCACACCTGCTTCTTCAGACAGAGCATGTGGAGACTACAAAAGCATGACTTGTACTTCTCCACCAGCCAAGTTTATTTGCGTGATGTTTTTTCCAGATTTGGAAGTTTTTCAATCAGTGCTTTATGGTTCACGTTGATACTGGCTATAAGTCCTCCCTCATTGCCATCTGAGCCAGTGTAACTAATTTCTTCACCAGCCAGGGTAGTCATATGGCCACCCAATGCCCTCAACACAGCATTTCCAGCACATATGTCCCACTTCTTAATATATGTGACATGGATATACACATCAGCTTCTTCTTGATTCTTTTCAGCCACATCAAGGAGGGCCAGCACTTTATAACCTAGAAGAAATGAGCAGAAGTAACAAAAGTTAACAAAATATTAAGCTTCCCAATTCATCACAAAGAATAAATCTGGTAAGTGTTAACAGCATGCACATGGAAGATTTAGGAAAACAGTGTTCTCAACTACATCATGCTAGTCCAGTATAACAGCGGAGGCACTAATAACCTCTGTTGTTTGCTGTTTGACCTACAGAGAAGGCTTAAAAATCAATATTGTTCCCCCGAACCACTATTGAAACGTAGGGCATTTGGACATGTTCTTCTTAAGATAGTTTTTATCAATGTGTTACATAAAAGTACCTAGAGACACCTTAAAAGAACAAGACTATAAACTGAAATACTGTTTCACTGTTAGGCTTATTCCCCTCTATCATCCATTGTGCAGTTCATTAGTCACTGCTCATAGTCAGCGTTCCTCATTTTATAGAAATTTTTCAATTGCTCAGCCAACATCTGTTTTATTAAACTTTTCCTCCCTTTCTTTTTCGTCTTATCCAGAGTCAAACCTAGAAGAATATCTACCTACAATCAGTTATACTTTCATCTCCTCTGCTATCATAAGAAAATTCATTTAGATTCATTGTTACAGCCAGAGCTGCTCACCTATGCACAATCTTATTGACTAAACTTTCTAAAAGGAAGCTCAGATTTTTCATATTAGACATGGAAAGATACACTTCCATAAAATTCACATTTTGCATGGATTTTACAAGGCTTTAAAATAGGTACTACTTCATGCTGGTGCCTCACATATTTGCACTCTGCCAATAACACGTGCAAGGATATCGTGTAAGGTTAAATAAAAGCTCTTTGGACTAGATGCTGGACAGATAACAACAAAAAACAATAGAATTTAGTGATACTAGTTTTTTATTTTGACAGTAATGCAAGCACTACTACCAATGTTTAGCGAATTTCTCAAAAAAAAAAAAAGAAAACCAAAAACAAAAAAAAAACAAAAAACATACTACTAGTTAATTAACAGCTAATAGATTCTCTTCTGTGATTCTATATTTGGTCACATATTCTTTTTCCCTCCACAAACACATCACTGCCTTCCGTGAATGCCCATAAACGCATTCAGTAAAAGGACCAAAATAACACTGCTGGTCCAAGATTAGATTCACATACTAACCAACCTGTGGATAGCTTGAAGCCTGAACTAGGTTTCCATTTAGGGTTTTATGTAAAGGGGAAACAGTGTTCCTACTGCCAAGTGCTCACTTTTTGGGGTGCAAACAACAAAGGATAAGAAGAGAAAGGGGGCATGCCACAGTTGCATCCTTTTTGTCTAACATCTGCTAGCCAGTTAAACCATTTGGAAGCAATAAGAGGGATAGCATGCTTAAGGAACCAAACCTGCTCCACCAGCGGGGATTATCACAGTTTTATTTCCAAATGTCTGCCGTGCAACCTGCTCTACTTTTCCTGCATGAGAGCGAGATACAATAATCCTCGGGGTTTTCTCATTGTAGGACGAACGAGCTTTTACATTTGACCCGCCATCCACCATAGCCCAGGCTACAAAAGAAACACAAGTTCAGGTAAGCTTTATAAAAGGCAATCGCTGTTGTTAAGCGTAAAGTTAAAAGTCTACTTATCCAAGAAAATGAAAGTGATGCCTCTGAATTAAATTCTGTTAGATATAATATTGAAAGTTGAGGCTGACAGAGAAGAAAGGGGCGCGTGCCCATGCGTGCACATGAGTGGAAGAGAAAAAAAAACAGCTGCCCACACAAACACGCACTTTTGTGCATATGGCATTATCCCACGCCTGGCTATTCCTGTGTGAGACTTTACAAAAAAAAAAAAAAAAACATAGTAAGAGGAAAAAAACCTCAAGAAGCAATATTTAGAACGTGCACTTGTAAAGCCACCAAAGTTAAGAGGGTGGCTTTGAGTCAGAAAGAGATCCAATATTTCCTCAAATACCTTTGTTTTAAAAGCAAAATAACCCGACTGCTCTTCAAAGCAGAGAGCGTAAATGTTATCTTAAATCATTTTGTTCAGAAGGACAGTAATACCAAGGAAGGATATGAAAACATTTCACAGTGTGTGTTTTAGAGGACTGGATTTAGAATACACAACCTCCCTCTTGCTTTATTACGAGTTTCAAAGCCAAACTTGGTAGGTGGCATCCCCTAACCATTAATTTGACACTTACTTAGCAGACTAACCAGCAATTTCATCTCACTAGAGGGCTAGATTGTATAGCAACAGACTAAGCTATGTGTAATAACAATACTGACTGCCCCTATTGCTTTGTATTTGTGGGGTACTATTAGGAAAAATTCTGTTGACAACAGATTCGTATTTCCAGCTTAGGAAAAACATATTCTTCAGGTGGAATGACAGATTCATTGCATTTCCTCTGATATCATGTCTGAAGATGCCAAATTTTATTACTGTTAAAGGAGATAAATTCTCATATTTATATTAGTGATGAAAAAAATTTCTTCAGATATAAGATGATACTTAGAATATATGTGTAAAAAAGCTCAAGAAACTTAAAGAATATCAAAATATAGCACATACTAAAGTGACTGGAATTTAAGACAACATTTAAGGAAAGCAAGGTATTTAGCACAAAATATTGAGTGTTCAGTAGGCAAGAAGACAGACCTAAAGCAAATAAACAAAAAAAATACATTTATTGAAACATTCTTAGTTCCTGTATCAGAGCTACTGCATAACTTCACAACTCTAGAGGTCAGTATTGCCTAAGGGGAAAAATGAGAACAGAAACTCGTTTCAACTATATGATATATAAGATATGAATACTGAAACGACTTTGAATCACTCAGAAATGGTTGTACACACACACTGCCAAACTTGCAGCCATCCTCACTGGCACATCATTAGTATCAAAGATCAGGTCAGCCTCATGCATTTTAAAGTATGCCAGACAATCAATAAGGCTGCAAGGAACAGTCTTGCCAAAAGCATAAACACAGTTGTCATTAATATCTTTATCTGTCTTTGTTATTCACACTGAATAAACACCAGCTCCTGGGTGCAATTTCACACTCCCAAGTATTTCTGCTGAATGAGCTGGATGAGCAAAGCACTACTCTGTTCAAGAGTAACAACACACAAAAGGTCAGTATGCGTGAGCTTCATTTTCTTTGGTTTGTTATAAGCATTCCTGTTTGAAAAGATCTCATTTGTCAAATGTAGTTTCAGGGTTTTTTTCTTTAATGCATCATTTTTACGTTAAACATGGACAACATTTTCCATTGTGGAAAACATATAGCACAGAAAACATTTGCAGCTCTAATTCCAAGGTCTACAACAGTGCTATTTTGCACCAGGTTTATTTTTTCATTACATCTGCAGATCCATCTGAGTTAGAAATGTGTAAAGTTATAAAAGTACCTGTATATGCCGAGAAAGGCTTGTGTATCACTCCTATTACGGGTTTACCATTTACAGCCACACAAACCATTGTTGTGACATACTGTCGAAGATCCTCTGTGGGCAAAATGAGAAAATAAGGATGTTTACAATCAGATGTGAAGAATAAAAAGGAAAATAGACCTGAGAAAGACATGTTGTTCTTTGAAAACTAGCTGGCATTCCAAATTCCACCTTTTACAATTGTGCAACTTGGTCGTATCTTTAAGTCACCCTACAGTTATCAAAAGACGTAAAAGATTCTCCACTTTTCCAGTAATTCTTCCGGTTCCGTAGATATACCCTATACTCTTGCCAGAGCTAATGCTAATAGTAATATCTTATGCAGTATGTACTTTCATTAAAAGATATATGCACTCAAATTCTCCTTTCTATGCCCCTTGTCCTAACCTCTATTAGCTCAATGCTGAAAATTCAGACATTAAAGAATAATCACATGAAAAGGTGATTATATCAATGAAATACTAGCAAAAACATAACCACTAGGTGGTGTTTGTTTTGAAGTACTCATGACTTAGAATTTTATTTGTATTGCCTTAAGTTGCTTATGTGACATCTCAGATTTTTGAAAAAGACGACTGAATTATATATTAAAAAAAACAAAAAGCTTTGTTTCTCAAGTAGGATATTCATTTATTTTTTCCTTTAGAAGAATAAAGAATATTCTGAGATATTTAATGTTTCCACAATAACAACTGAAATAAATGAAATGTGTAATCCCTAACTAAATCCATAAATGACAGTTACCATTTATTTTATTTTTACCATTTATTTACCATTTATTTACTTAGTTACAAGGAATATGAATTTCAGAGCTGGCACCTATGAAAGTGAACACTAGAGTCTGACAACTAGAGAGGTTTCATTTTACAATTTGTTCAAATAAATCATACTACTTTTGATGTAATATACTTTAACAAGAGTTGCCATTTGAAACACTTACTATTTTGTCTCCAGTACAAAAGGCAGACATCAGAATTACACATATGATTTGCCAACAAGATTCAGCTACCTGTGTATTCTTGTGTAGCATCTAACGGATCAATCCAGACAGTAACACTTTCTGCTGGAACCTCTTTAGGTTGTATTTTTTTCTTTATATCTTCAGGAATACTACGATCCCAAGAGACCGTCTCCTGATCGGCTGCATCAACATGTTCTTCAGAATTTATCTATGATAAGACAACAAAAGCAGATGCATTAACTCATCAAATGTAATAACTGTGGTACTGGAAAAATTAAAGGTTTTTTTCCTATCTTTTCTTTCTTCCTTCATCTCAAGCTAAAACAGCATGAACTGGTTATTTTCAGCAATTGATAAGTTATTAACATCACATGGCAAGCAATAAAAAACTGGAATTCTAAATTTTGCTGTGAATCACACCATAGTTGGACATCATTTGTTTGCCTACAGTTCTTCTTACTGAATGTTCTCACAGTATGAATTGCATTTTTAAAATCAAACGTTAAAAGCAGTTACTTCAGAGATCACAGGAAGAACGTTTTATCCTGGATAATCACAAGGTATACAGTTATAGTAGCAGTCTAATATTCCAACCAATGGAGAATCCTATACATAGATCACCTGATGCAGACTGAAACATACAGATACTTTACCAACAAATAATTTGCAACTGTAGTATAATAACATATAGGAGTAGGAATCCTAGATACCGTTCCTGCTTTTGGAATTGAATTACGACCTGTGATTTAAGCAGCTCAACTGGATGTAACCTTTTTACAACTGTTGAATATATATTTTATTTTACCAATAAGTTAATAGCATTCCACACCTACCTTTAGGGTAGGTTAGGCTGACAACCTAAGAAGGCCTGAAAGGAACATTTATAAACAGCAGTCAAAGGTCATATTTAAGCTTATTGTCACTTGCTGGTTATCTTAATGAATTTTATTCTGCACTAGAGGGCATTTCAATCTCCATGCAGAACAGAGTTTGTTAAATCAATGGAATACATGTCCCACTCTGCTGAAATAAGGTGTATTGGGTTTTGCAGAACGTTCCTTAATTTTAACTGAAGTGGAAAGTTATTTTCAGATCACAAGAGATGCAGTTATCATAGAATATTGTACATAATGATCTCTCATGTCACAAAATATCATATAAGCTTGCAGGAAGAATTACTGGTAAATAAGGGTCAATCCCTGAAAACATACGAACCACAGCTCACTACCATTACGGGTGTGGCTTACGAGGATGGGGGGGGGGGGGGGGTTTGCAGTGCAGCTGGGCATAAGTAATGCCAACAAGCATTTAGATAGATCCATCCCATTTACTTTTAGCACCTCAGTTATATTAGGAGACCAGCATTTCTACACTCCTTCTACAGCTCAGAAAAGGAAGGCATTGTTACTGTACCTTTCAAGCTTTAGCCTGAGTGAACCCTTCAGAAATGCCTCACTCCACCAATTATTCAGCTACCGTCCAGGGAAAGTAGCAGACGCATGTGAGATGCGGCATGTCTACAGCCTAGAATCACCTATTTCCCTCCATCCACTGCAGATGGAGTCTAGACTATTAGTTCAGACCCAGACATCTGATATTAGAGTAAATACCATCTGACTAAAATAACTTTTGTTGTTACTATAGATGTTGTAGGCAAGTGACACTGAAAGATATAAAAATAAAGAAATGATCACACTATGTTGGAATATAGCAGACTTTGACTCAGTAAGGTATTTACATACTTCACACCACAACAAGAAGAGACATCATACGCTTCAGCTGCAACAGGTTATTAGCAAAGGGTTAAGGGTCATCTGCTCCGAGAGAATTTACAAAAAAAAAAAAAAAAAAAAAAAACAGAACTGCAGCAACTACAGCCATACACCCTGGCTGTCTTTTGATATAAAACCAGTCTATGAAGTGTTGCGTGCCAACCACAGAGTCCTTGAAGTTGCTGTGACATTTAAAAATTAAACATCTGTCACTGAACAAAAAACCTGCTGATTGTGTTTTCCCCCAGGGGATACAGTCTAGCAAAGTGAACAAGATGAGTTCCACAGACTTGGCAGTTTCAGCACAACCTCCAGCCATTTTTAAGTTCCAGTATAGCATATAACACACCAGCATAAGTGATCTTTTTCTTCAATAGAATAAAGCCTGCTTCCAAAATGTTACAGGGTTGGTTCCAACCCTCAAATGGAAAAATCTCCTGCTAAACTTATTGTTACATTACATAATCTGAAAGGTACTGTTTGCAGAGAAAGATCTACTAGTTCAAATTTTGTAACTTCAGACACGATGCTACAGCATAATAATAGCAGTAATATTGTTAGTATTACTCTCTGCAGTACTACAGACAATAGTAATATAGTTGCAGAGACCCCATTCACTGGTCTGAAGGTCATTCAAAAAAAAAAAAAACAACTGGATCACTAGCTCTTTCATTCATATTACCATTTACTCCATAGCCTTGGCCGCATATCCTAAAAATCACAGGCCAAGTAGAAATTCATAGCCATTTCAATAACTACAGAGACTATGTTTCTTTTATTTATGGTTAGGAAGCTACATTATGGGTTCTGCAAGACAGGGTTGCTGGAGAAGAGTATCACCAGCCGTTAACACTGGAAACTTCCCTTTCTTAAGCAAGGGAACAAGCCAGGAAGATGAGCCTGTGCGTTAATACAGTAGCATATTTTACTGCTTAACGTTCACCTTCAACTTCTTTGCTGGAAGCCTCTACAGGTTCCCTTCAGTCTTTTCTGAAGTGATATGGAAGGTAGATGACTATATCCCCAGTCTTCACTCAGAAATTAGGAGTAGTTACAGTAGCTAAAGAATCACAATATCAAATGTTTCAGTCAATGAAGCTTGTTCCAGCAAGATACTCTCAGTCAGTTAAACTGCTACTTCAGTGTAAGTAATTATAAAGTTGCAAATTTGCATACTGACTTCCACATACACTAAAAGCTTTAGGAGGAGGCAATGTTGTGTAACAGTCAGATTTAGACAGCAACCCACTCCGCAAGAATTTGAGACAATAAGCAGAAGAGACAAATAAATAGCTATGTAGAGTTAGCCTCCTAATAGCTTTATGTTGTAAAAGCCAGTCTCATAAAGTTCTGTATATTGCCCACTAATACTGAGTTTAACTACCTTTCAGCAATCTTCCCCAATTATATTTAGAGGAAAAGCCCTTCTCACAAAAAAAGAACTGCATCAAATGTGGAGATTTATTAAAAACCATGTAAAATGGTGAAAAGACTACCATTGAAAGGTCAACAAAAAATTCATTGTTATAAGCAAGAGAATCTGACCGCATTTTTCAAGTTTAGAGCTTCTCTAAAATGAGTCGGTAACATGTACGAATCTCACAATGAATGAGGGAAATTGTTCACGAGAGCCAGCAGCAGAGGTTCAATGGAAACACCTGGATCAGAACAAGCTGTGCATTCTACAGCCCAGAAGCATGCTCAGGCCTTGGGAAGCTAACGTCTTAAACGTTCGCTCTCTGCGTGAAATCTGGGACTGCTCGAGAACAAGGGAGACAACTCAGAAGCGTAGTAAAAATCTATGTGGGTAAATTTAGTGATTTGAACAAACAAGCAACAGTCCAGTCGGCATAAAGAATTAAGGGAACCTCACATTGGCTCATTGCCTGTGTGGGGCCATTCCTGACCAGCACTTCGCAAAGTCTTTGTGGCAACACATCACCCTACAAACCTATTTAAACACTAACTAGCTGTCTGTGGCAAAGTGAACAAATTTAATTTTTTCCTGGTTTGAAAAAGTACAGCACAGCTGTAGTTTTGCCTTTGAATCCACCCATTAAAGAGACATTAAACTGCAAATATAAGCTAAAGAAATAAAATGGAGTTTTCTGTTCAAATATTTAAGAGCTGTTTAATGTTTAGTATAGTAATCTTACTAGCTTAGTCAAAACTTTGAGGCTTATTCAATACACAGATATCTTTAACACCAGTTGCTTTCTTTTGAAAGGGTTCTTTAGCAACCTTTTCCTTCTTGGTTTACCACAATACACTACAAAAAAAAAAAAAAGATATCTTTTACAGATGATCTTCTTCATGCCTTTGAAAAAGGCTTAACTTGCTAGAGTCCAGTTTACAAAAGCGTTTAAGTAGGGCAGATGTCGTTATGAAAGGAGAGATTCCAAATACCTATATAAATAAATCTGCTCGTACCATTTTGGAATTCATTTGAAATTAAAATGTCCTATACCTCTGTAATAATGCCACACCACAATGTGGATAATAGAAGCACACATTTTTAAGGCAACAAAAGTCCAGCTGGATAGAAGTTCTACAGTTTCTTCTACTCTCAACTCCATCTTCATTTATTTGAATTACAGTAGGAAGGGACTTCATGCACAAGTAAGCTGACAGTGTGGACAAGGAGGAACATGGAGCTCTAACGGTGCTTATCAAAATTTCATTACATAGGTTTGGTCATTACGCCAGCTAGAAGTAGAATGAAACTAACAGGTTTTGACATATGATAAAGACATCAGATGACAAATCTGCTTCTATTGACTTATGATGAATACAAGTCGGTAAAAAAAGATAAAAACAACAAAAATACAACAAAGGGAACTGTATGAATCATGGAATTCACACAATTTTCAACAGTAATCTGTTAAAACAATTATAATTTAAAAACATTAATAGTAAGAAAGCCATTCACTGGTTAGTTCATCATCATTTTAATAGATGGCAAATTTCTCAGTTACAGTTCCTTACAAACGTAACCACGCAAATTTAACAAAAAGAAAAGGATGACTGGCACATCACAAGAGGTTTTCAACACTATTTGTCATTTTATGAAAACAGGCAAATAAGACCAGATTAGAAGCATATCAATATAATAAAACAGAAACTTTTCTGCTGTTTGTGCTTCACTACATTAACGAGAAACTTAAATCTCCAGACGCTCATCTGGCAGATTAAACAGGCCCAGTACACATACAAGCCAATTCAACTACTTGTAATTACATCTGAAAAGATAATAACAGAGCCCATTACCATAAAATTAAGGGCTTTAATTTCATTTTAGGTACAGAAGGCCAGCATAAATAAATCATCTAGAACCAATTAAAACCCATGTTAAAAGCTGTATCTGCAGACAACACCTATTCATGAGATTTCAGATTAGCATACACATTCTTGTTTTACTTAGAAACCTGCTGGCAGCTGCTAAAATTGTAAGGGTCAGACAGATGTTAATTTTGTTAAAAACCCCAAGAATTGAGGATGACAGTCTTTCCACATGAAGAGACAAATGCAAATTACTGAATTAATTCTGCAGAGCACTGAAACCCTTGTGAAGCTTTTAAGTAGCATTTTGCTTTTTAAATCTACTCCTTAACATATCTGTCCTCCCCACAGAATAATTATCAGATGCAGAGCTTGCCATCTTAGATTAAATTTCAATTTTTTAGTGTGATAAGTGGCATTGTGGTCAGAAGTCTGCAAACAGCAGATTTAAACCTAGGGGGGAAAAAAAAAAAACTAGGTAGCTTGAAAAAGAAGTGCTTCAAGACCCTAATCTTCAAAAAGTGGAAGAATTTAATTTAATTTAAAAGAAAATCTTGATAACAGTACAACTGACAATTTCTTAAATTTCCATTTTAAACAATGATGACAGATTTCAACACTACTATGCACAAACTTGAAGTGAGGTAGTTGTATAGTTTACTTTAACTGGGAAAGAGACAGAAGAACCTTCAGATTCAGGGCAGCAGCAAGAGGGATAAAAAGATGATGTCCGAAGAGAAAGCAGTGGGGCAGAAGACAACTCACTGTCTATCACAGTCACAATAAAACAGGAAGAAATGAAAGATATTTCTCCATTCTATATTTATGCTAGAAAGAAAGACCTGTAGCTAACAGAGCTATAGAACGTACATCATGGTGCTGGTCAAAAATAAGCTAAAACTGCAAAACAAAACATGACAGTGAAAGTAAAGCTCAGAATTCATTCAGTCAAGGAAGATTAAGTTTTCATCCTATGAAAAGAAACCACGCTATATTGAAGAAGGAGAACAGTGGAATTAGAATTGTGTGGGCCACTGTAAAGCTGGCATTTTCATAGTCTGAAGATACAGGGACTTTGGCCAAAGTACCGGTTTAAGGAGAACCCCCCAGCTCTGCTAGTCATTCCAGCCTTGTGCTTACGTACACTGTTCCTCCAGATGAACTGATACAGCTTGTTTGTAGGGTCACATTGGATGCGTTCACGTATCACGTTCACAACACTGACTCCTGGACAAGTAGTGTTAGAAAAATGGTAGACCTTGATTTGTGGCGCTAGGATAGCAGCTCTTTTACCAGATAATGCCATTGAAGTCCTTATACTATCAGATCATCTCTTCAATAAGAGAAGTTCTTCTGGACAAAGTACATTAGCACTTACGGGCAAAATGTATTAGCTCTTGGAAATTTCTAACTTTGGATTCAAAGGCAGCTTCTCCAGACCTCCCTCTCTCTCTCTCTAGCAGC